ACCATGACGGCACTCTTCTTAACGTTGGCGGACAATCTCCACTTATCAGAAAACTTCTTCGCCGCGTCCATTTGCAGTTGCAGTCCCTCAGGGGTGTCTGACAACCGACAGAAATCATCCGCAAACAGCATTCCTGAAACCGACGTTTCCGTGTCCCCTACTTTTACTCCCTTCCGGACTGCCTCTACGACTTCCAACAGATCGTTGATGAACACCTGGAACAATGTTGGGGACAGCGTGCAACCTTGTGGGACCCCCTGCTCAATGTCGAAGAATTTTGACAGTTCTCCGTCTAGCATGACCGCGCTTTTCGTACACTCTTTCATCTTCTTCAGCACTCTCCACATTTTCCCCTTGATCCCGTATTTGGACAGTTGTTTCCACAACCCATTTCTCCATACGGTGTCGTATGCCTTTTTCACGTCCAGGAAGAAGCAGTACGTCGGCTTTCCCGCCCTCTTTCTACCTTGGATGATTCTCCCTACCGTGAACACGTGGTCTACGCACCCCCTCTTCTTGCGGAAACCTGCTTGGCCCTCACTAATGCTATGTTCCTTCTCCAATACTTAATGCAAACAGCAAGGGGAGAGGACTGAACCACAAGGCAACACACGCCGCTGCTGATTGGGTTTTGCCACAGGTATTATTAGTCACGCTAACTATAGTCACGCTATTACCATACTCCACGATCGAGTCGTGCCGGGTGTTATGAGCCCAAGTAGCCTCGTCGTTCTGAATTCTGTTGCACCATCCATCACCCCATGCACCACAACGTCGAAAATAAATACCAGCAGGCGGGTTCCGCGGAAAAGACGAATTGTTTCTCCCACGGCGACGAAAAACTCAATTGAAAAAACGGTTTTTGGATTTATGGGCAAAACGACGTTTGAAGGCATAAAAAAAAGACAAACAAAACAATTGTGATCGGATCACCTTGATTTTTTTTTTTTCACTTCGTTGCCGATTTCGGCGCCTCCATTTCTCCTCGGCAATCGATTCCGCTTGGCCGATTTAGGGGGTAGAGCCACTCAGAAAGTTGATCAGAAAAAAACTTGACGTGGGAACCGAGAATCCAAAATCCCAGGAAATTTGAAATTGCTCAGCTGTCAGCTTTTGAGCAGCTGAAAGTCCATTGCAAAAACAAAGCAAAACTGGGACATTCCAATAATATATTTGTGATCCCCACCCCAAAATTACCCTAATTCGAAGTCAGGAGAGATTGAATCAACATGTGGAGAGTGTTGCGGGAGGGGGGATATTTCAGTGTAAATCCTAGTCATTCCAGGTTATCCCTGCTTTTGCGGATATTTATCAGTGCTTGGCAATANACGTGGGAACCGAGAATCCAAAATCCCAGGAAATTTGAAATTGCTCAGCTGTCAGCTTTTGAGCAGCTGAAAGTCCATTGCAAAAACAAAGCAAAACTGGGACATTCCAATAATATATTTGTGATCCCCACCCCAAAATTACCCTAATTCGAAGTCAGGAGAGATTGAATCAACATGTGGAGAGTGTTGCGGGAGGGGGGATATTTCAGTGTAAATCCTAGTCATTCCAGGTTATCCCTGCTTTTGCGGATATTTATCAGTGCTTGGCAATATCACGGCCGCATCGATCCTGATCGAAATTCTGACGATGGATTCTTGATCTACACAACATTGTTGTTGTTGTTGTTGTTGTTGTTGTTGTTGTTGTTGTTGTTTTTCTTCACGTCAAACTCGTGTCAGTGCTAATCCCAAAATCTAGCAAAGACTCGGTCCGTGGTTACAGAAATGCTAGAGCCATCAGAAGATCTAAATTACACACACACTTTTACCAAGAAAAGGGTACGCAAGCCCGAGGAGGTACACCTGCAATCCCTGCAGCACGTTTGGTGCTCACAACTGCACTACACGCCCACACACTACAATTCCACTACAGCAGCAGCATCACCCACCTTGTCCCGCATTTCACCAAAATGAATGTTTGTCGACTACAGCGTACTGCTGTCTGAAGTGCTGTCTGTACAGTAATTACACCATNAGGGTACGCAAGCCCGAGGAGGTACACCTGCAATCCCTGCAGCACGTTTGGTGCTCACAACTGCACTACACGCCCACACACTACAATTCCACTACAGCAGCAGCATCACCCACCTTGTCCCGCATTTCACCAAAATGAATGTTTGTCGACTACAGCGTACTGCTGTCTGAAGTGCTGTCTGTACAGTAATTACACCATCATGGTGCATGATACACAAGCTCGGGGCATGCAGCTGCTGTCTGAAGTGCTGCCAAAATGAGTCTGTGGACATACAACGAAGAAGAACGCCCAACCAAAGTCATCATTGCAATTGACATTCACCCGAATCTATCTAGATCATCTGTATTAGGCACAGCAGTGTAAACATCGACACTGACTAGGAATCGTTCCACATTGAAGGGGTCTTCCACGATGCAGGTACACAATTAAGGCACCCAGGTTATCCGCGCCATCTCTGCCGCGTCTCTCTACAAAACCAGTGACGTCACCACACACACCCAACACCGGTACATTTCAGGGAAAAAACGGAAAAATATTTGACAACACAAGAGATGATTGTGCGTGCGCCACGGTCCGACGCCGTCCGCCTGCTCCGGTTCCGCTGCTCCGGTGCCGCTGTGGCCAGTCCTAGCACGACCAAACTCGACCCGCTCCGCTTCGTACACGCTCTCGTTGCTGTCCTTCCCAGTCGGTTCCTCGCTTTCTCCCTCGTTGCACTTACGGTTCTTGGTCTGAAAATTCTCGCACCGAAGGGTCAACCAGCCCAATCAGCTCGTCACCACCTGTCCCCTCCTCCTCTGATGGAAAAACCAGGTTCCTGAGACAGTACAGCTCCCTCTAGCAAACCTAGGGCCGTGTAAATAGTGCCCGTCCACCTTTCTTATGACGTCTGCCTCCGCGCACAAAGATGAGATGGGCATTGCTGCCTACACCGACGGCCTGGAGGCCCGCGCATCTGCACCTTTGTACCTGACGCACCAGTGCCGACCCAACTCCACCACTACGCACGCCTCGCGGCGGGTGCGCCGCAGCAAGAACGTATCGGTCCCTTGAGGGTGAGTCTAGCCCTGCTCGCCAGAAATACCCCCCCCCTCGCTATGGGTCATGCCTACGCAAAACCTTGCCGAGGCAGCGAGGGGAAGATTTACCTCTCATGAAAATTTTATAGGTACGATTCGGAGGCGTTTGCATCTTGCTCGAGGGGCCCGCAGACGCGATTTTCACCCAATTTTACCCACTCCTTCGTCAATAAGTCACGNCCGCAGCAAGAACGTATCGGTCCCTTGAGGGTGAGTCTAGCCCTGCTCGCCAGAAATACCCCCCCCCTCGCTATGGGTCATGCCTACGCAAAACCTTGCCGAGGCAGCGAGGGGAAGATTTACCTCTCATGAAAATTTTATAGGTACGATTCGGAGGCGTTTGCATCTTGCTCGAGGGGCCCGCAGACGCGATTTTCACCCAATTTTACCCACTCCTTCGTCAATAAGTCACGACCACGACATCCAAATGGGAAAATAAGTATATTTTCGTGATCCTCGTGACCTAACGGATGTTGGTACAAAATTTCAGAGATTGGGACCCATTTCTTGTTGCTCATTGAAAAACTCGTGAAAACTATTCGGCATTAGCCCGGAACCCGCCAGCAGTGGGCATACATGACACGGTTGCTCTGCTCATGTGGCTGGTGAGCTCGGTGACTGCCTCTCTTGGGACCGTTAATTGTTCCATCTATGCATACAATGCATACACAATCTAATGGAACTGAGAAAAATGCACATGAGAAAAATACAGACATGTAGTGTAAGTATCTGAGAGAGAGGGGGCAATCTCACACCGCACACATAAACAAAGAACCCCGCTTTAACCTTCATTCAGCAATAAGTGTTTGAGGCTTGCGGGTCACGAGGTCACACACCGTACGCCCCTCTATACCCGACGTATGCATAGAAGGAGACAGGCAGTATTTGCTCTCGATCGCCGATGATCAGTGTTATTTTTTGCGCAGACATCCCTGAAGGGATGCACAGCTGCACCCCACAGCTGTGATGCAGAATCTGTAGCCCGAAAGTATGTGTGGATTGCAGGCTCGCTCTGTTGGGAACCATTCATCCATGATGACCGCAGGACCAGAGGGAGGACCTGGGTTTCTCTTCGCTACAGCAGTAGAGAGATGAGCACACAGCAGTAGCAGTATTCGTCCTCCTCTATGCATAGTCTTTTTTTTGTTTCTTCTTAATATGACACAACGAGTCCATCTCTATCATAGAAAAGAGTCAAGAGACAGATTATCAATGGAATCATAGCGTCAGAGAAAATTATCTGTGTGTCTACGATTTCCCAGACAGCATATAGGGACATCTCCCCTGTGGGTAACAGGCTCAACAAATCAGTTTAAATCACAGAAAATATAACGACCTGCAGTGCCGCTTGATCGAAATACCAAATTGTTCGCTCTGGAAAACAGCAGTCTAGACTAAATACACTACAGCAGTACCATTTCCAGCTGGGCAGAGAGGTCTTTAGCCCCGCCCCCTGCCGAGACTTGAACAGCAACAACACCAAGCCTTCTTCGTTGTGGCCCGCGGCCGGCAGAGACGCGCCTCTTCTTGGGCTGGTTCGTCCCTGTCTCTGCTCCGTCACCTCGTTAGGTATGGAGGTCATCACATCTCTCCTACCTGATGGATAAGCTTTGCGTTTCCAGTAGATGATGCGTGTTCGTCTCGCACAACCCCTGCTCCGAGCCTCCACTCCTCTTTCGTGCAGTTTCTGCCCAGCCACGGCGGCCACTGGTGGCTGTTGCCCCACGACCTTTGTTGGTCGAACGCGGAAGTGTTTTTAGAGCGCGTAGTGATGATCCTGCGGGCGGCCGGACGTTTTTTTTTTTTCCTACCATCATACAACAAACCTCACGACTTTGTCGAGAAAGTAAACTTATAGGAATATTCTCGGTACATAAAGATGGTTCTGTTTTGGAACCCGGTCCTGGAGAACCTATTGATGTACGTTGCTCGTTGCTCTCTGGCTCGAGCGGCTCGAGTCTGGCTCTGCGCGAGCGAGCTGGTGCTCGCTGGCTCCGCTGGCTCGCTGGCTGGGGTTGACGTGTGGCGAGGTTGACGTTGACGGAGGCAGGAGCGAGTCGCTGCTCCTCTCTGCTGCAGCCCTCCCCGTTTCCCGTAGTCTTAATGGGCACTGCCCCTACGCCGACGAAGAGGACACAATCGGTGCTCACACGCACAGCGTAGACCTATAGACTAGACTAGTCTGGACAGCAGTCGATGCTCGCTGCTGCTGCTGGCGATGCTCCGATGCTAATCGATGAAACACCCCTTTCATCGATCCCTCCCTCCCGGGCGCTGTCGCCTCGAATTGCACCAACGGCCGACAAACTTGCATGCTCGCTAGCCCGGTTACGATGAAGGCGGGAGGGGATTGAGCGAAAATACGAGAAATCCTGAGCGCAGGAAACAACCCTGCACGACTCTGTTTTGCAAAGTCTACGTCCCACACAACAGACGATGGCCGTGGATTGGTTT